GTGATGCAAGCAGAGTTTTGAGTGGGCAACACATTCCAGATTTTCTGCTTGCTCCAAGAGGCCACAAGGAGGCAAGGTAGCACTTGGATGCATTTTTCCCATTTTTGTTGATCTGTACTTGTTAAGATTTCATAATGATTACTTGGATAACTTTTTAAGTGAAATAAATAATAAGTGCAGAATAAACTGCTAGAAGGACAATGGGCAGGGTCTCTGAGAATCCTTGAAAGCAGCCACTACCAAGTATTTACTGAAAATTCTAATGGGAGGAGGTGATCCAGGTGGAGGATGAGCTTCCTGTCCCGTCCCCAGGAGCAGGACATTAGGAATGTATGACATCATTTCTCCGGATCCAGGAGCTGGTTAGGTTATTGTTCCCTGTGGCAGTTAACTTTCACATATTCTATAGTTTTAGAAGAAACCAATGCCTTTTACAACATACTGTGAAGAGGTCAGGACCTAGAGACTGAAATTTTAAGGGAACTGTTTTGCTAGTGATTTCATTTAGATGGGACCAATTGAAGATTCAGCCCACCAGAAATAAAGTTGTTTTTAACATTCTTATTTGTATGAGAATCTGAAAGAAGAGAATATGAAGGAGCCCAGCTTCCCAGATGGATAACTGGTCAGCAGGTTCACCAAGGCTAGGCCTGCGCTCAGCATTGCGTTTCCCAAGAGATTCTGTCCACAGTTGACCTATTTCACGGCACCATGCATGTCAGGCTTAACAAGCAATGAAAGCACGGGAGAGAGCAATGAGGGTGGGTGTTAATTTGGCTGAAGACACGCCAAGGGCACAATAATTCTTTAACTCTAGAAAGAACCAAGAGGACAGAGCACACCTGAGGCAACACACTGAAATGGCTTCCCTTGAGATTCCTTGTGTCCCTAATTTTCTGTCATATCTGCTGTGTCCTAAGATGATGATAAGTGCTCGGCCCTATCCAGACCTCAAGGGCTTATCACATACCCATTATTTTTCTATTTTCTGACAATTGTGAAACCATTAGTGATATATCTTATGGGATGGTATGATCACAGCAAGGGTATTTTGATAAAGGCCTCTACAAATTCCAGAGCATCATAAAGAAGAATCATAGATAATTTCTTAGAGCTGAAAACAAATTTCGATTCCTTAAAAGCTTTATCTGAAACATTTAATTACTGTCAGAAGCTGGGGGCGAGCGTAGTATCTTCCTCTGGAGCTCGCACAGGGAATACAGCCCTGTAATGATGTCGGTTTGGAATTCTAGCTTCCAGACCGTGATAGGATTCTGGTAATTTCAGCCAATGAGTTTGTGGTAATCTGTTTCATCAGCTCCAGGAAATGACTGTACCTGGTGTAGCCTCATGCTCCCCTCAGCAACCAGAGGGCACACATGGACTCCTGTGGTCAAGAACGGCTGTAGCCAGGAGATGATCCTGGTCTGCCCTGTCATTGCTCCCTGGAAGTCTCAGGAGAATTCACCATAGGATTGTTATACTGTCCTGGGTGTCTAACTTCCAAGAAGGAGGTAGTTTCTAGGGGAAGGACTGTGTTTCCAAACAAAAAGTCCCCTCATGCCTGAGAAGCTCTTTATTTAAGGAACAGGCCAGAACACCAGGTCTCAGGTGGAGTCAACATCCACCTGGGGGGAGCTTTCCCATCTCTTCCTGCTCACTCTCCCACCTCCCCACTGTGGATGAGAACACTGCTGGGAAGTGGTGAGGGTGAGATCCTGGAAGAAGGATGCTTAAAAACTTGAATATAGTATTTTTTTAATGTTTTGGAAAGTTCTTTTAGTTTAAATGTCCTGTTACGTATTTTCTGGCCCCTTCCCTTAAATGTCCTGTTAGGTATTTTCTGTCTTTCCCCAGATGTGTACAAGGCTCCGCCCTTCGTCTGAACTTGGCTGGAATGTCACCCTCTCCTTTAAGCCTGTCTTTGCCCAAAACTAAAGTGAAAATGACCTCTCCTAGTACTTGCCTGGTTTATCTCCCCAAAGTGTTCATCACTCTGACACACTATTACACTGTGTTTGTTGGTCTCACTTATTGTCTCTTCACATCAGGATGGAATCTACCCAGCAATTGAGGAGTTTGTTTGGGTCTTCTCTATCCTCAGCACTAAGGACAGGACGTGACACAGAGCAGGCACACAATAAATGTGCTGTCCAAATGAATTGACACATCCCAACACAAGTTATAGATGAGTGCATCCTCATGGTGTTGAGTCAAGCAGTGAAGATGAAGCAAAGACTCCTTTGTACTCTGTCTCCTAGCAAACATCCCCCTTCCTTGGGGGGAAGACCACCATGATCAGCTCAGAGACACCCAGTCTCCCTTTTTTTCTCATTACCCAAAAAACACATATTTTTGTTTTGTGCTGTTCTTTACCTTACAAAAGTGGCATCATATCACAACTGTCAGCACAATGCCCTTCATCACCACCACAGCTTGGTCATTTCTCATTTGCACTGAGCCTGAGATGGCTAATTTTAAGTGTTGTTGGGGGGGTGATGGTGCTCAGGAATTTGGTCAAACTTGAGTCTGGAGGTTGCTGTGAAGTCCCTGTGCAGTTGCCAGATTGCCCTCCCAGAAGGCTGTCCCTGGACCTGGCTCAGAGCCGGAAGGAGAGCTCCGTCTCCCAGCACCCTCAGCACACTTGATACCCTCAGTCTTTGTGGGTTTGATGAATCTGATGAGTGGAAGCAATGTGTCATTTTACTGTCTTTTCCCTGGTCATGTGGGAGGCCAACCATCTTCCAACATGTTTATTGACTATGTGTTTTCCCTTCTGCACATTGTAGTTTTATATCCTTAGTTTATTTCTCTATGGATAATTTATCTTCTTTCACTTAACATGTATGATTTTATCTTCTATATTCCTCTTTTGTTATGTTACGTTTTTCCCCTCAGCTATCAATTGTCTAAATATTGTGGTGTGTTGTTTATTTGATGTAATCTCATCTATCTTTCCTTTATATCTTGTGTTTTTGTCTTTTGATCCCCTTTATAAATATACTCTTTTATCTTTTTGTAATAGATTTATAGTTCTATTTTTTATTTCTGGTATCCATCTGCAATATGTTTTCAGGATCTAGTTTTAATGTTTTCCCCAAATGACTAGGTAATTATTCAAACACCATTTTTCCCACTGACTGAAACAGCATGTTTTCTTCTTATTTTTAAAAAGCGTTTACTGAAACGATCATATGGCTTCTCCCCCTTTGATGCGGTAATGGGCCCACCTCCCAGCTGCTGAAGCCTAGCTGCCCAAAGCACAAGGGGAACCAGTGAAAAGACCCACTCGCCCCAAACGGGGCCAGACCTGTGCTGTGGACTTTGGGGAAAAGCTTGCAAATAGAAAGAATGACTGTGTTCCTCCTTAGACAGATGCAGGTGCTTAAACGGGGAAGGCATCAGGAGGGAGTGAGGAGCCTTTAGGCAAGGGGGCTCAGATCACACGGACACAGAGCCCCACCATGGTCTTTCCCGGCCCTGCTCTCAGGAGCGCTGGTCATCCTCGCACCATTGCACCAGCACCCTTGAATCCATGGTAAGAGCGTCTGAGAGGAAAGGGGAGCCCCACACTCTTCCTGAGCTCCCTGTTGTTGGGTTTGATGGGCAGGGACCCAGAGTCTCAGCCTGAAGAAGGAGGCATATGTCTGGTGAGCAGGTTTCCCTCTGAGCGTCCACCACATTCATCAAAGCCTCATCGTGATTGCGGGAGTTTTTGCTCAGCTTTGTTCCCAACAGCCTTCTCCCCAGCCTATGTGGTCTTTAGTCCACATGATGTGAATGCACTGAATCAAGGTGCTCCTGAGAGATCTGCAGGGAAGATTGCAGTTTGAGTCTTCGGGATACAAGTTTCAGGTGAGGTGACTAGTAAAGCACTGACGGCCCTCTGGTTAGAACTGGAATTTCCCATAGAGAGAAAATCTACGTTCCTCTTTGGGAGACTGAAAATGTTTTATTATGTATAAAATGTTGCTGCTCCAGGCCCTGCTGCCAGGCTGGTGGACTAGAAACAGTGCGGAGCCCTGACCTGCACCCAAGTTGAAAGCTGCCTTTGGTTTGTGTGAACCACCGCCCCAAAGCTGCGCTGGGAAGGAGAGCCCGGCCGTCTCCGCGCTTCTCCCGGCCCCGCCTCCTCCGCGCTTCTCCCGGCCCGGCCGCCCCCCTGCCTTCACCTCCGTCTAATGCGTCACTCTGGCGGATTTTCTGGTGTTGAACCATTTTTTGGTTTGGGTTTAAACCTGTCTGAATGCATTTGTTTTAAATACTTCTGGACGTGGTTTGTCAATATTTCATTAGGATTTTTGGTCTCTAGATTCATATACATATATAGCAATTCACACCCCATCTGAATCTTGACATAATTTAGACAAATGAAGAGTCATTTAAGCAGTATGCTGTGGTTAGGCCCTAGAATAGATTAAAACATTTACTCCAAAAAATGAAAATGAAAAAGTTAACAGGTTAAGAAAAGCATTTATTAATTTTTAACTATTAACTCCGGTTACTATGTGGCTCTGTCAGTAGTTTTTGCCATTGCTCCCAAAAAAGGCTCAATCCAAAATATTAGAACTTGTAAGCCATCAGATTTCTAACCCAAAACATCCAAAATAAAACAAAAACTCTTCTAAGAAATTGCCAGCCATTTAAATATACAAATATATTTACATATGTCTTAATATTTATATGTAATTTTAATGTGTAGAGATACATTTAGTATATAAACAAATTAATATGTTTCTATTTCTATGTAAATTATGTGTCTATTTCTCAAGAAAGGAAATGAATCACTACAAGAGAAGGCACTAAGTTCAAATTTCAAGCCAATCAAGACAAATTCATATTATCTGGGCTTTTTGCCCACAAGTAGACAGCTGCCAATTACTTAGGCTCCCAGAATTAGAATTACTGTTTGCCTATATACAAAGGAAGACAAACCAAAGTTGTTCTTTCACACATGGATTTTATTTTCAGCCCTCCAGTCTGGCCCCAGCCCCGCCTCTGTTCCGGAGCCCGAGCATCTGCTGCTGCGTCCTGGGAGTGACCAGGTGGTTCACCTTTTCTGCTCAGCACCCCTGTCCCTACTCTCCCTTCTCTCAGGGTCCTGAATAGAAGGTACAGGACAAAGAGAGGAGGGCTCGCAGGCCACTCACTACCTGCCTGCCTGATTGCTCTGCACACAGGTGAGATAGTCCTGCACATCATCCGGGGACCCCAGGATGAGCGGGACACGCTGGTGGAGGGCCTCAGGCCTCACATCCAGCACTGGCTGGGTGCCCGTGGTCGCCAGGCCTCCCGCCTGTTCGATGATGAAGGCCACAGGATTGCACTCATACAGGAGCCGGAGCTGTAGGGAAACAGGCAGGCGGACAAGCTGAGTGGGTGGCCCACCTGAGTCATGGCCCAAAGCCGGCCGAGGAATTCCAGCTGCTGGGCTTCTGTCTGTCTCATCAGCACAAGGATGCCCACACTCCTCAGCAGAGTGGGCTGAGGTCAGGAGCCTCAGGAGGCTGGGTGCACCAGCCCATGCTCTTCACTGTGCGTTGGGGGCACTCTGCTCAGTTTGGCCTGCCTTGGGTCTCTGTGCACATGGGGTCCTGCCTCTCACCTGGGAGTAGGACACAGGGGCACTCGCTTCCCACTGGCTCAGCCATGAGGCCTGGTTAGGAGCCACTGGACAGGACCTTATGGCTGATGAGAAGGCAAGTTTGGCAGGACTAGAAGGGTCTCCTCAGAGTGCTTGGGGTCTCTCAGGAGCACCTCAGTGTCTGGGATTGTTGGGAGCAACTCCACACCTCCAGGGTGGATTGGGCAACTGTGCTGCTGGTGTCTTAGTGCCCTTTGCTCTTGGACCTTGAGAAAAAGTCCCTCTGTGCTGTGCATCCCCATGGCATCCTGCATGTCTCTGTTCATAACAGTCATGACACTGAGGTTTCTCTGTCATCTGCCTTCCTCCCTAGATGGCACCCTGGAGGCTGGGGATAGTGTCTATCTTGGCTGGTCATGGTGGCATCTCCATTCCAGCTCTGCCTGACCCAGGGAGAGTGTCCACACAAGGCTACTGTGAAGCTTGCACAAGGGCTCCAGGATAGGGGGCTGGAAGGTGGGGTGTGGGGTGGCAGGGAAAGGGGGGCCAGGGGAGATGGGGGGTGGGGGAGGTAGAGGGAAGGGGGTATAGTCAGCCTGCACCCTACTTGCCAAGCTGTGCACACAGGCCAGAGCAGAGCCTGTTATGAAGAAGGAATGTTTTTTCTCAAAGTGCTAGGAGCACTAGCAGGTGTCTGCCCTGCGTCCAGCAAATACGCGGGAATTGAATTGAAGTGGGCAAGACTGAATGTCCTTGGTGGGTCTGTGTCTGTGATTAAGTGTGGCTCCCTCCCCACCCACACTAGACACACACACACATGCATGGCTGACCGTATCATACCATCTGCTCCGGCCTTCTCTGACAGGTACAAAATGGGTAACTTAAAAAAACGTTCCCTTACAAAAGTGGTTGACCTGGCTCTCTGTGGCCTTTCATTGAATTCTTCCAATCCAGGGTGAAGGTGTGATCTATCATTTTTCTGCAGTTATACAGGGACAGAGAAGAATACACACCTACACCCAAACACATGTGGTCACAGAGACCATGGGAGCTAACACGTGGGAGTTCAGGAACCAGTGGCATTTTCCATACAGGTGGTAGTCTTGGTGCTGTGACTACAGATTACATATGGAATTTTATATGCTTATGAAAATGCTTAGTCTTACACAGGTATTTTCTGACTAATTTTTAAGTCGTTTTAATAATTAGCAACAGTAGTCTTAATATTCTCCATGTTGGAATAGAGTAGGAGGCAAGAGTGGTTCTACTTAAGAACTTCCACAGTTCCTATTTCCCACATTTAATCCTCATGACCCTTTCCTTCCTCAGCACCTTTCATGCAGACCTCCCATGATTCTCAGTTCACCAGGTTCACATACATGAGCTAAACACTCACATGAGGAGAAATACCTGATACACCAATCTGCATATGAGAAATCTCTCTGGTCTCCTGGGCTGTTAGATTCCTTATCATGGCTTGAATCTGGCATTCCAGTAATTCAGATCTCCCACCCAGAGAGACGTCCATATGTGTGGCTAGCTGTGGGCATGTCAGAGAATGGCAGGACTTTGTTTGGATTTGCCTGATTACCTATGATTTCTGTGCTTGGCTAAAAACCAGACACTTTTCCATAGGCTCTTCTATTCAAGAGAGGTGCATTTGGATCATAATATTCCCACTTGATAGTAAAAATATTTTTGGTTTTGTGTCATAAAGCTACAGTAAAGAGGTTTCAGGAGCTACCTCTCCAGAAATAGAAGGATTTTTGAGCAATTCTTATTCTGGAGTCTGGGAATTCTCCAGGGGATTCTTGGATGGGCTTCAAATCATCTGATAGGCCCTGAAAATGTATGTGATGGGTATGTTCATGTGCACTTTTTCCTGAGAAGTAGGTCCTTCAGCTTCATCAGATTCTCAAAGGGGTTTGTGGTTCATAATCAGTGGTGCCTCAGCTCAAAGTCAAACAGAGCAACTACGAAGTGGGGGATGCATGTGGATGACTCATGGTTTAGGACAGGCACAAGGCCAGAGGAATTGCAGCCACTGTAAAGTGCTGACAATCTGCAGACTTCCCCTCCAAACTTTTCATCATGGCCCCAAATTCACAGGTGGGAAATTTATCTCGTTTCCCTTTCACCTGCCCCTCACAGACAGACATGCCAAGGACAGGCAGTAGCCAGAAGCAGGCATAAGGAGAAAGGAACTCTGCTCTGGCTCCCTGACCAGGTACAGCAAGTGGACAGGGGGAATTACCTTGCCCTTAGGACTCTTCTGGTTGGCTGGGTACAGGAAAATTCCTCCATAGACCAGGGTGCGGTGTACATCGGCCACCATGGAGCCCACGTACCTGGCCCCATAGGGAGCACTGCCGTCCTAGAGGGTGAGGGGGAGACAAGAGCAGTGAGCTCAGCAAGTACCAGGTCCAGTTCAGGACTATGGGTCCAGCTGCTGTGTCCTCTGCATTCTAGGTCCTCTGTCCTTCACTCACAGCCTAGGGTGCAACAGCATTATGTGGTTGAGTGCTTCATCCATTAAGCCCCCCCACCCCTCGCCCAGTGATTGAATTCATTAAATGTAGGACTACTTGAAGGAAGAGATGGTACCCTGTAGCAAACTTAAGAGAGCAGCTAACAGCACAAAAAGGGAAATATATACTGAAAGAGAGCAGAAATGCCACCCCAAAACATGCCCCTTTAGCATATTTATTTATTTATTTATTTATTTTTATTTTATTTTATTTTTTTATTAATTTTATTTTGGTATCATTAATCTACAATTACATGAAGAACATTATGTTTACTAGGCTCCCCCCTCCACCAAGTCCCCCCCACATACCCATTCACAGTCACTGTCCATCAACATAGTTAATTACTACCCCATGGTCACCAATAAAAAGCATTTATTCTTTTTTTTTATTAGTTTTATTTTGGTATCATTAATCTACAAATACATGAAGGACATTACATTTACTAGGCTCCCCCCCTTCACCAAGTCTCCCCCACAAATCCTATCACAGTCACTGTCCATCAACATAGTAAGATGCTGTAAAATCACTACTTGTCTTCTCTGTGTTGCACAGCCCTCCCCGTGCCTCCCCCCACACTATACATGTTAATCATAATGCCCCCTTTCTTTTTTCCCGCCCTTATCCCTCCCTTCCCACCCGTCCTCCCAGTCCCTTTCCCTTTGGTAACTGTTAGTCCATTCTTGGGTTCTGTGCTTCTAGCATATTGATTATTTTGAATTAAAGACAGTTGAGAAACTGCTAGTGCAATAAAGACCCTCTGACCCTTTTATACCCCTGAATGGAGGAACTAATCTCACATATGAAAGGTACACTCCCTGCACCAGGAGAAAGAGAGATGTCCTTATCCCTAGAGATAGAAAATTAAAGCCCAGAAGGCTGTATAAACAAACCTTGTTACTTTCTCACTAATTTCTTAGGCCAGCCCTAACTTGGTTGTCTTGTCAATTCTTCAGAATGTATTGTTTCTTTGTCTAAAAGACATAAAAGCCACCTGCTTTGGTCACTTGAGTCTCCTATTTTATATGGGGATCCCATACATGAGAAGTTGTTTATAAATCATGTATTTTCTGTAAATGGATTGCCAACACTTAAAAAGTTGGGTAATTTCTCATAGCACCCAGATAAAAACCCCAGGCAGTGTTGGGTATGTGTGGGCCCAGGACCGGCCATTGATGAGAGAAGATGCTCTCCAGGTGTTCATGGGCCTGCCATCCCTCTACACATGGGGCTGGCTTCACCTGGAATAGATACTCCCTTACTCACAGATCCTGGTTTGGGGGATTACAGAGGAAAGGAAATTGACTAGTAAAGCCTTCTAAGAAGAGAAGGGGAAACCAGCGGGATTTGGGCTTGGCTTAGACCAGTAAGAGAAATTCACCCAACAGAAGATACTGAAAGACATCAAGGAAATGTGATAAAAGCGGACACTGCAGGTGATTTCAAGCACTGAATGTTAGATGGAATGCAAAATCTGCCATATACTTTTCTAGGCAAAACATGAGTAGTTCTGTGCAGAAATCTCAATTCAGTAAAAAATTTTAAGCACCTTATTCATGACTAGCACCAGGTTGGGCCCTGAAGATGCTAAAACTGGCAAAACAGTCAATGCCCCAAGGAAGTCACAAGCTAAAGGAGACTAGCATATGCAAATGCATAAAAATAAGTGAATTCATAATTCTATAAGACAAATAGCCTAATACAAAATGGTAAAGGACTTACCTTGCACCACATAAAAAAATTAAGTGGATTGAAGACCTAAACAATAGCTAAAACTATATAGCTCTTAGGAAACGTTAGAGAAAATCATGATTTTGGAGTTGGCAATGGTTTCTTTGATACAATACCAAAAGCACAGACAAGATAAATAGCTAAACTGACTCCCTCAAAATTGAAAACTTCTGTGCATAGAAGCACACTATCAACAGAGTACAAAAGCAACACACGTAAAAGAAAATATTTGCAAACCACATACCTGATAAAGGATTAATATCAGAATATAAAGAACTCTAATAACTCAACCACAAAAGCCTAAACAACCCAATTCTGAAATGAAGGAAGGATTTGAATATGGATTTCCCAGTGAAGTTATGCAGATGGGCCATAACACATGCAAAGATATTCAGCGTCTTTAGCTATCAGGGAAATGCAATCAAACCGCAATGACATATCACTTTACATTTACTATGATGGCTGTTGGAAAAAGATAAGTGTGGGCAAGGATGTGGGGAAACGAACCCTCGTAACTGCTGGCAGGATTGTATAATGATGCAGCTGCTGTGGGAAACAGTCGGGCAAGTCCTCAAATAACTGAATATAGAGCTACTATGTGATCTTACCATCCCTAGGTACACACCCAAGAGAAATGAAAACAAAACTTTGCACACAAACGTTCCTTGCAGCAGCCAAAAAGCTGGAAACAACTCACATGTCCATCATCAACTGATGAACTGGACAAATAAAATATGGGCTATCCGTACAGTAGCACATTATTCAGCCATAAAAAGGGAGGAAGTCCTGACACATGCTACAACATGAACCTTAAAATCATGATACAGAGAAAGAATTCAGTCACAAAAGATCACGTATTATACAACTTCATTTATATAAAATGTCCAGAAGAGACAAATCTATAGAGACAGAGTGTAGAGATTAAAGGTGCCGAGGCCTGAGGCATATGGGGAGATTGGGGTAACGGCTGAGGGACTGAGGTTTCTCTTTGAGGTAATGAAAGTGTTTTAAAATTGATAATGGTGATGGATGCAAAATTCTGTGTCTATAATAAAAGCCACTGAGTTGTAAACTAAATGGGTGAATTGTATGAAATATGAATTATATCTCAGTAAAGCTGTGATACAATAAATGAATCAATGCATTTGGTTGTGGCTGGTGCCACTATAAAGGCAGGTTCCGCGGATAATGGGCAACATGAGGAGTGTGACTGTGTCACCTGTGGGGGCAGGGAAGGTTTCCTAGCACAGGTGATGCTTAAATAGGGAGTTCACCTGACACACAGACATGAGAAAAGCTTTCTTAGCAGAAAAGCAAACACACAAAGACCTGGAACGTAGGAAAGGTGGGAATGTTCACAAGCATCTAGTATAGCTGACAAAAGGGAGCAAGAGGGACAAAGTAAGGAATGAAAGGCCAGGTCATAGGGGGCCTGGCTAAGTGAGGTTAGGGAGTTTGGCTTTTAGCCTATAATAGATATGGCTTTTATTTTGGTATCATTAATCTACAATTACATGAAGGACATTATGTTTACTAGGCTCCCCCCTTCACCAAGTCCCCCCAGCACAAGTATAGAGAATGGGTTGGAGACAATTAGGTATTCACTGCCACCTGCATTGTCCACTACACCTGGCATCAGCTGCAATAAAATGCATTTGTTGTAGGCATTTGTATGCCAGGCCCTTCCATGAATTTGTGATGTTATTGCAGAAAGAGACTGTCGTCTTATTCCGGCATTCCCTTGCCCAGCTTAGTGAAGGCATACAGCAGGTGCTGGGAAATACTTACTGCATTGCACACACATGAAGTTTCTAGAAAGCACTACTCAGGTTGCCACCTTAAAAATTTATATGGAGAATTTGCATACCTCCTATATTTTATTCACATAATGATATTAACTAAATAAAAACATCTTTGGATGCCAGCTAAGAGATTCTCAGTAGGTAAGAGAATGGACTTTATTACACCAATGGTCTCATGGATGAAGAGCATGGACTTACCTGAGAAACAGTTGATAAATAGAGTTGATACCACCTAATGATCGATTAGACATGGGTATGAGAAAGAGGGAGTCCTTGGCTCACTCCCAGAACCTTGTTGGGGATGCATATGAGGTTGAGGGCAGTCTATCATGAAAAGAAAGAACAGAGGAGGGAGCAGGTGTGGGGTGTGGGCTTGGCAAGGGGTGTGGTATAGGAAGGTCAACTAGAGGTGAGGAGGAGCAAACAGATTGGAAGCCCATGAGAGCAGGGGTGACCAGGAGGTACTGGTCGGGGTCACCCTGGGGGACACCAAGTGTGAGCCAATAGCCTGGCTTGGAATGGAGTCTAGTAGTGCACCAAATTTAAGGGCAGGCACAGGTGTGGGAGCACACAGAAGAGGCTGGGAAGGTGAATAGGAAGGTAGGTGGAAAACTGCTCAAGATAAAGGAAGACAGTTTCCTGGAGGAAGTGGTGAACAGTGCTAAATGCCATGTAACGTGAGGTGGGAACATGACCGCTAGGTTTGGCAACATTTCCAAACCTGGTGACCTTTGCCAGGATACTTGCAGAGGATTACGAAGGACAGACACTGAGCGAAAAGAGCCAAAGAGGGAATGAAAAAGAAGAAAAGCTTTTTCAAAATGGAAACTTCCCTGCCACTTCTTGGTGTATATCCAAAAGAATTAGAAACAGTATCTCAGAGATATTTTTATTTGTACACTCATTCATTGCAGCATTTATTCACGATGGCCAAGAAATGCAAGCCACTGAAAGGAAATGAAGTCTCTTCTGAGGGACATAAAAGAAAATTAATGCAAAAGAAAAGATACTCTATGCTTCTCTAAAGTAGGAAGTGTTATTTTAAAGATACTAATTCTTTGTAAATCTATTCATAAATTCAGTGTAGTTCATGAAAATATCAATGGACTTTTTGTGGAGAAACGTGAAAGAAACGGTGTTAAATATATCTGGCAAAGTAATCCTGAACACTTGTGAAAATAAAGACTAAGAAGGGAAGACAGTAACCACGAAATCTAAGAACATATTGTGAACTAATAATATTGACATATCCAGGCTGGAGAAGAAATGCAAAAGCTGACAGTAGCTCAAAGTCCAGTCACAGGTAAATCATATAT